CTCCCCGGAAAGGACAATAGCGCGTTCGTTCCCCACCATAGACACCTGCGGTCTAGAGTTTTGCAAATATCTCAGCAACGTTGTGGTTGTATTTCAGTACTGCTGGAACTATCGATATTTCGATGACATGGAACTACGAGTAAATCCGAAGCAAAACCGTTTCAATTTCATGAATAGAAGTCATGGCAACTAGAACATGGGACACTTTCAGATTTATTCTACAACTTTTTATTCACACTTCGTACATCAGTTCAAGAAGCCAATAATCAAAAGTACTACTCCAGACAGCAGGTGATGACAATACATTAATATCATTCTAGTTTTCTTCGGACCACACAAACACGTCTACTTCTTTCGTCCCCCATTCATTCCGCCCATTATCATAGCCATTCGTATGAAAATGTTCAAGATATCCAAGTATATCGACAACTGCCTGAAATAATAGGTATTTGATATTCGACAAAATATTTAGCTCCAGTTCCACGTGATCATTTGAATCCCCTGCAATCTCGTTTATCATTGAGTAACCCAAGTCACCAAAGGTAAATTCTACGTTCAACCCCATTAAATGTCTGAAATGTTTAATATATTTATCTCTTTCGACTGACACAAGTTCAGTACTTTTAGGATGGTTCCAAGATTGAAAATCCAAAATTCGTATCATTTGTCTGAGTAACACTAGTAGAAAGATAACTTCCTTCCAGCCCTGTTGATGAACTGCAATAAACCATTAAGTGACGATTTAAGCAAAAATACGCTCGCTAGCGCTAGTATGTTTTAAAGATTACCATATGTACTGCAACGTTAATCACACAATATAATCACTGCAACGTTTCCATATGTAGAAGCTTTTAACTAAGACAGTTTTCACCGCTAGTACTGTTTGCATCAACCTATCCTCTAACCTTCCAAACCACATCATACTAAAGTGCTAAAGGCCTTAAGAACTTCGAACAACTCCAACAGAGTGCTGAAGTTAAACTAATAAGGTTAAATTTAACGATGTTTTACTAGCTGGAAAGCACTACAGACCCTTCCAGATATTCTCACTCCATGAACATCCAAACTAAATAGTTTGAAGAAAACCAAAACCAACGCGTTGATTGGGTCATAGCTCTTGATGTCCGGCATCCCATACATCTTCCCATGCTGTGGATACATTTGAGCATGCCTAATCACTCGTTGTGTGTCGTGCAATAGAAATGCCGAGAAAAGAATCAAACCACCGTAAAGCACAATCGACATCAATCCTGTAATCAGTAACCATTGAATCCAACAACCAACTGGGCACTGAATCACAGTATAATCTAAAACAGATGGATGATAGCATGATAATATGATAAAAGATAATGAAGAACGCTAATGAAAAAGATAGCAAAACACGAAATTGACAAAAATGATGGTGTCTCCTTGCAAAATTTACAGGCAAAACGGTTTCCTATTTTTTCAAGAATTACCACGGTTCGTCTAAAACTTCAGTATTCCTTTTAAGAACATGCTGGACTGCTGTTAACAACCTAATCTGCATGAACCAATCTCTACGTAGACAAATGAATTTCTCTAACCTTAACCTCTTCTTCACATTTAAGAAAACAAACCAGCTCCAAGTGCCGACCCAGGATGGAAAAAGAATGTCCCAATATTCGCCACGAAAACCACGCCAAGTCCCATAGCAAGGGGTCCTGACATCATGAGGAATTTCTCTGACGGCGCAGTGATGGCTGTTGCAGAAAGCCCTAGAAAACTGATTCGATCATAACCATTCCTAATTCATCTACACCACAATGATCGTCTAAAACGAAGAGTGATACCAAATCTGGAAAATGTACAACATCTCTTTACCGGCAACAATGCCTGCAGTATACCAAGCAGCTCTCATCAGTACCGGTCCACCCATATAAACCATCGGAGCAAGAACTGCTCCCATTGCTCCTAAAAAGAAACGAACGCTACGAGAACCCTAAATAACATGAAACAACTACAGAGTTTTGTCTACTGTAAAGAACAACAAAGATAAAGCTCTAAAGCTCTCGACGTTGACCAATCCCTGAAGAATACGCCATGCACTTGACCTCATTAAGCACCGCTTGAGCTGAGTTAATGCATATCTAGCCTATACAATGATTCGCTTTTTCCTATCGATGAATCGAGCCAGTGCTGCTACCCTCCCAGACAAGTCTCGTACCAATCTGCCGATCCCGGAGGGATGGAAGGCTTGGTGAGCCTTGGACCTGGGGATCGATCCCATGTGTGTTGAAGGGCCTCTCCGAGCACCGCGTTTCACGTGTCTCTTAAGAACAAAGTTACACATAGGAAGCACTACTTCAGTACCACATAACTTCACCACCTAAACAAAAGTGCACTTTTGCACTTTCCATTTCTGCTTCCTCCACAGATTTTCATTTTACAACGAGGTATATGAACACCACGTTCTAAACACATAAGGAACTAACGAGGAACACACATATTCTAAGCATTCAAGATATTGCTCACCGCAGTGAAGCATCCAAGCCAAATGCTTTGCAACAGTGCTGTCATAGTCAATGGACCGACAGAGCATTCCAGTTCCAATAATCACTGCTAGTGTAGCGAAAAGACCCTAGAAAGGAGTTCTTCTACTATTGTACTTACTCGTTTAGTTATTTATTCATTTACTCTCCTATTTTTGTGTTGCTCAATGTAACTACATTTCAGGAAGAGAACTTAACCATAGTAGAAGGATTCCTTAGAATAAAGTGTTTTGGTTCCCCGCCATACGAAATAATGTCAGCCAAAAGATCACGACCAAATAACAAATCTATTTTCATTTGCAATTATTGAATACCCACATCATTTACGCATAAAACAAAATATGAAAGAAAACAATGGTTCCAGTTCACTGTGAGAACATACCAATATTCCACCAGACTGTGTAAGACGCATAATGGCTGCATTGCGTGAAGCGGCCACTCCACTAGCTGCAGTCATAGCCAAACTACCCGCTAAGTAAGAATAGGTTGAAGAAAGCCTCTCTCGAACATACGTGGGCCAAAGCCTAAAAGTTGAGTCACATTAAATACTTATCAGAACCCACTTTGTTAGCTTGCCAAAACACTACAGAATGTGAGAAGAGATAATGAATTCCAAAAATTTTTTGCACATGTGAACTTCCTTCATTTGTTAGACGTGTAAACTCATACAGTATATACTTGAATGGCCCGTCTTCATCGGTTGTGCAGACCCCAACATAACTCCCATTTTTTCGGAACTTTGTTGCTTAGCTATTGTGGTTCCCTGGAGCCCTAAGGTCAGCCAGGCCAAAGTCTGACCCAGGTTATCAACACCACAAGCAGTCGCCGCCTTCATAGATAAGAGGGAGATTTGCAAAACCATGCAACTAGTTTGATTGCAGGACGGTGGTGGATCCTGGTATTGGTTTACTCTTAGATGGGTTTCCTAACAAAAACGTTGGACACCTTGTCAACTTGGAAAACCATTCCTTGGAGGTGAACCTCCCGTTGTAAATCGCAGCTGTACACCCAGGAACACCTCCCAGCCACTATGAGGCGATGAACCGTTGCAAGACATACAAAAATGTATACTGGGGAGGAAGTGATATTTACTACGTCATAAAGTTGAAGTGAAACAAAAACTCAAATACACTAACTACTGGTAAAAAAGGTAAAAATGATACATCTGTAGAAAAAAAATAAGAAAAACACCGTTTGTGCAACTGATGCAGAACGAAACCACTATTGTTCGACCTAGAAATACGGTAACCTTTTCATACAAACCTAATACTTGAACGCCAAGTGAGAAAGGATAAAGCTCTCGGCGTTGATCAATCCTTGAGGAATGCATTCGACTTCATTAAGCATCGTTTGGAGGTGATTTAATGCATATCTGGCCTCTACAATGACTAGCGGCAGCCTACCGATGTACCGAGCCAGTGTTTCTACCCTACCAGACAGGTCTGGTGGTAAATTGCCGAGCCTAGAGGGATGGAAGATTTGGTGGACCATGGGTGCGGGATCGATTCCACGTGTGTGCTGCAGGGCGCCTCTAGAAAAAAAACGTTAGCTCTGCATTTTTATCCATCAATTGCCACTATCTTCCCAACGGTTTACTGTCTTAGAGTAGCTGAGAGGTGTTCCTGGGTTACGGGCTGCGATGTACAGCGGGATGTCTACCTCCACAGTATGGTCTCCCAAGCTGAGGAGTGTTACGTTTCCATCCGGAAGCTTAGCTAAAAGTAAACCAATCCCAATACCAAGAATCATCAACGTCTTGATATTGAACTATGCACATGATGGAAAATCTCCCACTGATTCACAACGGCGGTGATTGCCTGGAGTGGTGACGACCTGGAGAAAGCTTCGGTTAAGCTGACCTCGAGAGTCCAGAGAACCAAAATGACTAAACCAACAAGTCTCCGAAAAAGTGGAAATTGCTATCCAAGCATTTTTACTATTGGTAATGTGACGAGATGACCTCAGCATCAAAGCAAGCTAACAAGCATACTCTTGCAGCGAACGACAACCATCAAATAAATTCTGCTCGTTTTTATAAATATGAAGCATACTAATACTACTGATTCTAAAGACTCTGACTCATGGCAGTTTCATGGAAATAACACTTGAGTGTAAGAAGCCAAGAAACCTACGCGCTGGCTTGGAGAATAGATTGTTCTTTAGATACAAGGCCATAATACATCAGGGCACCAATGCCAAAAACAGAGGCACCAGCCAAGGCATACGTACCATATACATAAGCTAGAACGATGTAAAATAAAACAAAAATAACAATAGATCTAGAAAACGTCAAAAACTTGTGCTCTAGAGAAGAATGGAACCAATATATAACAAACATACGTGCTCCAGTTGTTGGTCCAAGAAGTCGTTCCTTAAGAGTTTTACCAGCACGTACACCGATCCCCTGTAAATGAAACAACATGAGGAATACAACCACAATGATACTAGAATATTTGCAAAACTCCGGACAGCAACTGTTTGCGGTGAGGATGAAACACATTATTACTCTTTCCGGGGACTAAAGTGTTCACCATATTCACCACCACTACGCTTGTCTCCCAGTCAGTTTTCTATATACCAGTGCCATCAGCAATCGCCCGTAAACGGGATTGATCTGAATAGCACAAATCAGCATTGAACTCAATTCAGCTGAGGTTGTAGGTATGTAACAACATGAGGAATACATGACTGGGTGATTGCTAGTAGCACCTATAGGTCAACAATACGGCTGAGAGAAAGGAGAAACGAAGCACTCGTGTGGTGTGGTGGTGAACGCGTTAGTCCCCGGAAAGGGTAATAGCGTACTCGGTCCCCACCGCAGACACCAGCGGTACGAAATTTTAGAAATACCTCAATATTATTATGGTTATGAGGAATATAATTCATAACAATTACTAAGACAACTGCTACAAAAGTACTTCTGTAAACGAAAGGACGCGTAAAGAAGCAAACAAACCGCTTGTTCTGCAAATCGATGAACGCCACCGCTTCCACTACCACCGAATCGAGCCGGTCTCAGCAGAGATTTCGAAAATTGACGAACACTAATGGGAACTACCAAAGGGGGGCGTAGTGCAAGTCGTGAGAGCATCGTGTTACTGAAGTACAAATAAAATAACGACATACTTCTATACAGCGGCGATAGCCGACAATCAAAACAATCGCTTATCAGAAACACTACTGCTAGGATAAGTTTAGCTATGGATACTAAGCTATCACGAAACAGATTAGGACGAAAATATCGAACAGAAACATCCTGTAGCCAGTAGCCATCTCCTTGAGAGAAAGCTCCGACTAAGAAACGGATTCTATGAGCTTCAACAGTCAACAATCGTATATATCGCCAGAATCCTTGACAACAACACGAAGACAACGATGATCCTGACGAAGTAAAGCCAATTTTCCGTACGTTCACTAATCCAATAACGAAACCTAAGTGCTGACGAGGATTTCATTTAAATGGATGTAAACAGTTCAAGAAGACAGTGTTGATAAGATATCAGAATGAGTACACAAGCGCAAAGAGCAAGGTACTCCAAGATCGTGAGTGCCTCAGATTAAAACTACGAGAATATTGTTTTGATTCCTGGCAATCATTTCGTTGAAGTTCATCGTTAAAGAAGTAAAAGAAATGCTCACGGATCACGTTGCTCCACAAAAGCACTCAACTAAAATGAAGTACTTTTCCATCAATGAAAGGCAAGCTGTTAGAAACACTACACAAAATGCTCACAGGACAAGTACTTCCGGAGAAATACTCAACTAAAAAGAAGTACTTCCGACCAATGAAAGGTCAGATGTTAAACGTACTACATAAAATGCAACGTTACGAGTTAACCGGTGTACGTACCAGCTTGTGAAAATATAATGTATTGATAATGATGCAAGACCATTACCACCCGCGCCCCACTCGAGAATTGTTGGACCAACATGTGCAGCTGAGGTACCGCCCACATCCTAGAATTTTCTGTGCGATCACGAGTGGTCCACATAGTAAATAGAAGGTTTTGCCTAACCGATGTCGCTATTGTCCCAAATTTTATACGAGGTCAGACCACCGTCTCCTTCGTGCAAGATTCTGTTTATCTCGGAAAGGAGAAAAGCCGCTAAATTCCAAAACCGAAGTCCCAGAACCACCGTAAACTGGGATTTATTCAATTCATTAGTCGGCTGTTGGGAAGATGCCGTTGTCGATAACATCGACGAAGAATACGATCGGATCATTCAACACCTTCACGTTAACGCTATGAAAGCTGAGTTCGAAGTCACCAAGAGACGTCTGTCTCCAGAAACACTTGAGCTAATACGCCAGCGTGGAATCGCACAAGCTGCACGCAACCGCGCACTATCGTCCGAACTTGCAAAACAGTCAGAGGCGATAAATGATCTTAGAGAGAGAAGAGCAACAGTAATGGCCGAAGCTGCAGAGGCTGGGATAAGCATTTGCAAAGCCCACCGAAGCTTCGTTAATTACAAGACCAAGATTATTCCTCTCCGGCACAGAGACGGAACAGTTACAGCATCCAGAAAGTCAATGGAGAAAATCATTCACGAATACTACTCGGATGTCTTCGGTAGCCACGTCCACCTTCCGTCATATGAAATAAAGGAGTATGGATATGTTGTACCACCGGTTCTCCCTTCCGAAATCCGACATGTTTCGTCGGTGAAAAGTCGAACAGCACCACGTCCGTACAGGATAAGACCAGAACACCTGAAAAACCTTCCGCCAGTCCTCGTAAACACACTGGCTCGGCTCTTCACACGTTACCTGTCTGAATGCAAGGTCCCTACTCAGTGGGAGACCAGCAAGACCGTGTTATTGTTCAAGAAGGATGACCTACACGTTATCGGCAACTATCGCCCAATCTGCTTACTGTCTGTCGTCTACAAACTTTTCACTCGAGTCATCCTAAACAGGATTGACAGAACACTAGACGAAGGATAGCCATGTGAGCAAGCAGACTTTCGAAGAGGATTTAGTACGATGGACCACATCCACACGGTAACACAACTCACTGAAGTATCGCGAGAGTACAAAAACCGCTCTGTCTCACTTTCATCGATTTAAAGACCTTTGACTCAACTGAGATAGAAGCAGCCTTGAAAGCCCTTGATAGTGAAGGAGTCCCTACTCAATACATAAAGATTCTTCGTAAGCTGTAAAAAAATTTCTCAACCAAGATATCACCATTCTACAACGATATTAACATTGACGTCAAAAGAGGTGTTAGGCAAGGCGATACCATCTCCCTAAAATCATGTGCCGCCACCCTCCAGAACGTCATGCGAACATTGAAGTGGGATAATATGGGAATGAAAATCGACGGTCGGCAGTTGCACCATCTTCGCTTTGCTGATGACTTCGTCCTTATAACACCAAACATTTGGCAAATGGAACGTATGCTTGACGACTTTGATAAAGCCTGTGGAAAGATTGGTATTAGAATAAATCTCACAAAACCGATGCTCATGGAGAACGGATTGGTTTCGTATGTCCCATTCACGCTCAACGGAACGAATATCTTTGAGTGCTCCAGTTATATCTACCTAGGTCGGGAAATCAGCATGATGAATCAATAATCAATATGGTCAATATGATGAAACGACCTAGCTCCAGAGCTGAGGAGAAGAAAACGAGTGGCTTGGGGAGCTTTCAAGAGCATCGAGAGTGTAGTGAAAAGAACAAAGAACACTCGACTCCGTGCTCTCCTTTTCGATTCAACGGTACTTCCTGCTCTAACGTATGCGTCAGAAACCTGGTCGCTGTGTAAGCAGGATGAAATGTCACAGTGATATCGAACGCGCGGTCGGAAGTATGATGCTAGGAGTATTCCGTTCCACATAAATAAGGGATGGGATCCGAAGCTCCGATCTGTGCCAACGATCAAAAATCAAAGGTGCCGTTCTGTACGCCAAACAGTCGCAGATAAGGTGTGCCGGACACGTAATGCGTATGAATGACAACCGATGGACAGGAGCCGTTAGTGACTGGATTCCTCGGGATGTCAAACGTACTGCAGGAAGACCACCGACCCGATGGTCAGAGTTCTTCACGAGAAGCCTAGAAAAAAGATATGATGCTCGACGAGTCCTTAGAGTGAGTAGAACCCACTGGGTTACTTTTGTTCTCGACAGGGAAAGATGGAAGGTTTATTGGCGCTGGCTCGAGTCACTCGATGATCAGCGGGACTACAGGTGATACAGGTGATCACGAGGTGGTATATCAGGTACCGGTACTCTTATGAAGTACGCATTGTGGTACGGTTCAAGTAGATTATTTATTCCTTTTAATGGCTCACCAACTCGTCATCGCTGGATGTTCCGGGGTGTTGGATTGCGATATACAGCGGGAGGTTCATTTCCCCAGCAGAGCCTCCCAAGCTGAGGAATTCCACGTTTCCATCCGGAAGCCCAGCCATGAGTAAACCAACACCGAGATCTATCACCGTCCTGGTACTAAACTAATCGCATGATGGCAAATCTCCCTCTGATACGTAAGGGCGGCGACTGCCTCTGGTGGCAACGACATGGGGCAGACTGGCCAGGCTGACCTCGGGACTCCAGATAGCCACAATAATTGAACCAACTAATCCTCGGAGAATGGACATTGTGTTGGGGTTCGTGAAGACGGGCTATCCAAGTATACACGTAGGATTACCATTACCCAGTCTAGCTTTCACCCGTGGAGCTACGAACAGTTCACAGACCAACATTTTCATTTCGTAATTTTTCGTTCCCACTCGCCTTAGAAAACGAATTCATAGGTTTTGGAAAGCGAAGTAGGTTTGGAACAAGGAGAAACGCGTCACGATGAAGTACGGTGACTTCTTCACTCTGTATTCAGTAAGGTTGCACTGGTCTCTAGTCGACTTAGTACTAACATACTACTCGAATAACTACGCAATCTTTGGATATTGAAAGAAATCAATCCAGAAAAGAACTGATAGGAACATACTTTACTGGAAAATATGCTTCTTAGCTCAATCCTCCAAAACACGTTGGATACATTCCATAAAATAACAACATGTTAACAACGTGTAAATGCATAAAGTCGATATCTTTATTACCTCATTAGTTCTGCAATCATAAATACAAGTAAGACATGAATTGTTCATCCTATCACTATAATGCACCCCCTCCACGACATGCTGGGCTAGGCTCCGGTTTCTGACCGACCCAACTGCTCGGCGCTATGGCGTCGATTCTCAGTGCATGAACTGGACCCGAGAGCTCATCGGAGAGACATGAATTCACCATGCGATGCCTCTTGAATAAAATAAAATAATTGTACTTACTGGCGACAATCTACTATTGGAATAGCAAAGCCTGGCCATCGATTTCGGCTAGGTTCCAACATACTAGAGAATTTTGCCATCCATTTTTTTGTAAAGTCCTATCTACCTATCCTCTATACTATGCTTCATCTCGGCTGAATCGTAGCAGTCAACGTCATTGAAATCGGATAGAGGAAGAAAGCGCTCATGACATTTCTAGGTGGCTCGCTAATTTACCAACACCTAATCAGCAACCTATTTATACGAGTTTTCATGAAGAGATCGGACGATGCTAGGGGCACCTGTGGCGCAGTGGTGGGAGGCGCTCTGCAACACATAGGGGATCGACCCCCGCGCCCGTGGCTCTCCAAACCTTCCACTCCTCCGGGTTCGGTCAATTGCTACCAGACTTGTCTTGGAGGACAGCAGCACTGGCTCGCTACGTCAGTAGGTCATATCGAGTCATTGTAAATGCCAGATATGCATTCAATCAGCTCCAACGATGCTTAATGAAGTCGATCGTATGGCGTATCCCTCAGTGATTGATAAATGCCGAGAGCTTTGTCCTTTATCCTTTCAAAATATAGTTATGTATTTATTATTGAGCAAATCTTAAGAACGAGATCGACCTCGTGATGTTCGCCTTTGTTTTAGCATCGAGTCGAATCCAGTGAAGTGCAGCATCGCTCGAATGAAGAATCTTCATCACTGCGGGTCGGCAAACAGGTACCAGACTTGTCTGGGAGAATAGAAACAGTGATTCGACACATCTGTAGGCAACCGCGTGTCATTGTAAAGGCCAGATATGCGTTCAATAACCTCCAACGATGCTTAATGAAGTCGCAAACATGGCGCATCCATCAGCGACTGATCAACGCCCAGAGCTTTTTACCCTTCATGAATGATGCTGAGGTTCCTCTATTGCTTCTCATTGAAGGTGTAACAGTTCGAAAGTTCGAAACAAAGGAAATTCTTCATTTACCTGCATTCTGACATTTCCTGATTATCATGATAACCTCGTTCTCCACTTTAAATCGGAAAATCTCCGAGAGAATTGAATGGTGAAGATTGCAACCTACTCCCATGAGATGTAAAGAACTCTTCGTTCCATGAATTATATCTTCCGAATCCTCAGAAAATCTCCTATAATTTCGCGACATGTCAGCAAAACAACCTTCCTTCGAGACGTGCATCATTTGATGCAATCACGTTTGAATCGAAACTGTTCATTGTGTTACCTCTAAATTTCATCACACTTTACAAAGGAATGGATAGCAGAATTATCTTCTTTATTGAAACAATCTACTATTCTGTGCACTTTGTAAATGTAAACCTCGAAAATCTTTGTAAAACCAGAGCTTTTGATAAGTCGATAGTTTTGTTCTGTACAACTGTGCCTTGTAAATTCGATTAAGGCTCAACATTACGACAATGATTAAAGCTACAACACAAAGATTCGTAGCTATATTGATCTCTAACGCCTTAACAAACTGGTGCACGCTCATCCAGTATAATACATCCTGATGTCGAAGCACCTTCCAGCAAACACTACACTTACCTGAATAACAGGGCATCCCTCAAATTTATCGCTAACGATCTGAACCCGGAAGTGCTTCTCAGATCCTTTTGGTACGTTGTGCATATGACTCTCGCAAACAATTTCCAGATTAGACGGCTAAAAACCACGGAACAAGTGCAATAATAACCCTCAATGGCCGTGTTCTAAGCAAAAAGATGTATTGGATCCCCCACTTCACTTGTGCAAAGGTAGAAAAACCAAGGAATGAGACTACGTAGATTTCACTTTAAGCAAAAGAAATTTACCTTTTAGAAGCAGGGTTATAAGTCAGAAAGCGCCCACCATTCTAGTAAGAAAAGCTCAAAAACGCAACCGAGAATGTTTCTTGCAATTTCCTACGTATCGCAGCTGCAATGGGTCCTTCGGTGCTTCCACTACTACACATAGTCCTCAGAGCACGCATCATAAGCAAGAAATACTCTGATTCTGCAACTATGGCTTATAATGATAACCTTTTACGCGTTACCCTAACACTGTTCGAAGACTATTACCACACTGGAGCAAAGCCATGGAATCACAGTAAATGTATGACACTACTGGTTCCTCATGAAAAACACATGAAGTACGAACAACCTTGTTATTTCAGCAAGTGGCATAACAAACAATAAACCGGAAATAACAAGCAAATAATGTAAATTTAACGGAATCTGCGAAAAACTGTAGTATTCTTCCGTTTCCAATTCTTTGCTTGAGAGCCTCCACGGGTTGCTGCATAGCGCCAGCCCTTTCCAAGACCTCGTGACTTCCTGCCGGCCGATGTAAGTCCACGCAATTCTCGATGCTTTTGCACTGGTTTTGTAATCCATTGAGTATCTGGGTTACGCCTAATTGCCTTATGGAAGGGATCTATAAGGATAACCTCGTAGAATTTGTAGGTAGAGTCTTCTCCAACCCAATATGAGTTCAGAACACGAAGAGAACCCAGACGACGTCCAACACGGTCCTAAAACACAACATTCGAGATCATAGATCATTTAGTATTCAGCTTCTCACATTGCAAACATTTAGCATTGAGAATGACATAACTTCGACCCATTATTTTCCACCAAACTTTCTTGACGAAGCTTCTGTAAAATCCTTTCACGAATACAAAATAACACATGTTCTTAGTCGTTATCATTGCTAGTTCTGCAGCCGTTATTCCTCTTATATGTAAAATTCAACATTTTCATTGCAATGTTAGAGCAGCTAAAGGGATAGGAAGAGAAGTGAGTAATGTTCACCAAAAATTCCATAAAAGTTAATAGAAGCCCCTTGGATCTAATATTTGTCAACACAACTGCCCGTTACAATGCTAGAAAACTATTCGACAGAAAACAAATTGAAACGCTTCATGCATGAGGAGTAAAGTGTTGGGGCAAGTCCTGTGCCGAATAAAACCAACAAGGAACATATTTTTCATTCCCAAATAACTAACATCAACAAAGAATTCAAAGCCAAAATGTTTAAGATAAAACACTCTTTCTTCTTCTAGAAGCATGTAAATACAGAGAAATGGAGTTGGAGCAATAGCTGTATAGCCAAAGCGTAACCTCAACTTCGTCTGTACAATTGGTTTAAGTTATTGAAAGAACTACATCGTTGCTTTAAAAGACTAGGAATTAGCCCAAGTTCAACATCTTTAATGGGAATGAATTATAAAGTGGAAACAAACAATACCTCCGCAATAGCCTGCTTGGATCGGGCAAACTTCAGTTCATTAACACCGTGCGTCTTTGGCTTTCCGTAAGTCTGGCCTTTAGTGACTGGACGTTTACGGTTACCACGTCGTACACGGACGCGGTAGATAACGTAACCTAGAGAAAACTGAATGGAGAAGAAGTTGCGGAACAGTTACAGCATCGAAAGAAAACAATACGGTTATGGTTCCTTGGCGACTTAACCAGACAGCAATTTCACTTCATAAAACCCAAAAATAAGCCTGCTTAGAGAAAGTTGTCTAAAAACAAATGGGTAAACGACCTTTTTCGACGCTCTACTACTTGTGTTTACCTCACTTTCTCATTTACATCGCGGTTCTGCCATTTGTTTCAAATTTTTCAGACTTGCACTATGAATACTATGAGGGGTGCTTGTAAACAAAGGTTTAGGGAAAACGAGCCGCTTCGACCCACACGACGTTTACATTAGTATAAATATAAAGAACAAAATATAGCTACTAACAATGAAACGGACAAGAGATCCACAGAACCAAAGAAAATGAAGCATACCTTGTTTTGCACGGTAGCCCATACGACGGGCCTTTTCAGGTCGAGTTGGACGGCTTACTCGATGCACAGCGGAAAGCTGCCTGTACTGCCATGTACGAATTCGAAGAATATAGCGCATGGTGTCCGATTGTTTCTTACGCCATATTTCTTGCATATACTTGTATGCCCCCATGTTCTGAAAAAGCACACCTTCCTCTCTCATCAAGCACGAAAAAATCAATACACTATCGAGTATTGGTACTTAAACACACAGCTTAAACGAAACAAAAAGAAAGTTACATCATGTCAGAACGTAACATCGAAGAAGAATGAGAAACGTGGATATCAAACGACATAAGAATCTTTAAAGAACTGATGAAAAAACCTAAGCGTGAATTTGAGAAGAGAAAGAAGCACCTTAGTCACCAACTGAAAAGTTAAAGAAGGTAACTATGGAGTGAAATTTTCAGGACGAAAATATGTGACATCAACTATATGTCGACTTGAACGACTGTGGACCACAGACTCGAATCATCGTCTCTGAAGAAAACGAAGACGTCGAAACGTTAGCCGTTAGAATGAAGATTGTTCAAAAAGCTCGTGCAACCTTAGCCAAGAAAGAACACATACTGATCGGTCATACCGAGGTTAAAGAAAAGTCAGTTTTGAATTATGTGGAATCATTGTGAACCGATGTTCACTTAACCTCGGTATGGATGATCAAGGCACCTTTACTTTAGGTTTATCTTAAGCTAACACGAGGTTCTTAGCGAACAAACCTCGGTAAAAAAAGACCTGGGTAACAACCTTGTGCTAGCTTACCAATGGTATGAGTATATTTTCATCCAGTCTGACTTCTGGAACAGAGTCTCCACAGCATTTTTACAAATGCATAACGAAAACCAAGGCTACTCACTGGCTAGTTAACTTGCCTGGTTACTAGTATATCGAAGCGGAAGACAGGGATCTTGAATTGAGATGTAGTAGGACTTTCATTTGTGTATAATGTAAAAAAATCTTCCAGCAAAACAACATTTAACCACGACTTTTCGCGCTGATAGTGGGAAACTTTTAGGAAATCTGACGAGAACTCGAAATGACTGCGGTGATTGCAACACGGTAATTCCCTTCGGGACCACCTATAGGGTTAGAAAAGTCTCCCTTCAATTGTCCAAGAAGGCAATAGGTATCCTAAGGTTGGTTTGTTGTTAGAATGCTGTTTGGATCGTACTAGTGAGCGGTTGGACCTATCACTGAGAGTACTTTCGCGCTTAGGAAATGGTCACTCTTATTCAGTACCAGAAGCTACTATCTTTCCTTTCAGTACTTTCCTTGTTTCGTAAAGTTATGAAGTTACATCTTGAAACCTGAAACGTACAAACGGCAACTATAACAGTGTTTGTGTACTTATTAGCAGTATATCGACACAAGCAGTTGACTGGTATTTTGTGTTTTACTCGTCATCTTCGGTCATTGTTTCGGCAGCTGTTTTGATTGATGGAGTCGTGTTGTTGCATGTGAAAGAGAGTACAACTTGTAGTTTTTGTTGATTCTTTTGTTTATTCCGAGCCCTTGATGATTGATGTAGTAATAGTAGTAAACAAATAACATTAGTAATGTCACTAACCCTCCTGACGGTTTACCGCCTCTTCGTGGCTGTGATGTGTTTCTGGGTGTCGGTCTGCGCTGTACAGCAGGGGATTCACCCTCCCAGCAGGGCTTTCCAAGCTGAGAAGGAGTCCGCTGTTTCTATCAGGAAACCAAGCTAAGAGTAAACCAATATCAGGATCCACCAACGTCCTGGTATCAAACTAGTCGCATGGTGGCAAATCTCCCTCTGGTCAACAAGAGCGGCGACTGCCTGTGATGGTGACGAACTAGGGCGAACTTTGGCCAGGCTGAATTCGGGACTCCAGTGAACCACATTGGCTAAACGAGAAAAACTTCGATTAAAAATAGAAATTATGCTGGTGCCCGTACAGCGAGTGAAGACGGGCCACCCAAGTATCGAAGTAGGCGTCCACATGGTGTTACAAATGCCTGCAGTGTCGAAGGTGTCCTGGGAGCAAGTCATATTTGATATGGATATTTTTTGTCATCTTTAGAAAAGGTCAAATGAGTCCATGGTGCTTTTTAAGCACGTTCTCTATTAAGCTTCTTACTTTACAGTTTTAATTGACCCGTCATCATACCTGCTGTACGGATGCCTGCACTTCTTGCATTCGATTCGTTTTCCTCGATTTCATCGTCCACGAAAGCCAACCAACTATTTGCATGTGGACTAGGTTGCCGCTTCAAGACGTCATCTTCTTTTTGAATGTTGTAGAATGTTGGTCGAGTTGATTCTCTTTGCAATCTTGGAGGTAGATTAGGACGTTCCCATGTGGATTGGTGGTGTTGAGGAGGATTCGAACTACCGCTTTGCTTCCTGATCGACGGCGTTACTAACCCCTACACTGCGCTACCACCGGTTCAAATGACGTGGAAAACAACTTCCTAAGAACTTCCATAACGTTTTTCTCTCTGTTTTAATTACTATTCCAGCGAAGGCATTGAGCGTAGTGGTTAGAGGTGTCCAGCAATACACACTTAGTGTTTAGTTCGACTTTGGATGTCGCTGTTACCTAACTCTCTCATACATCCGTAATAAAACTCTAAAGCTCTCGAGTTGATCAATCCCTGCGGAGTGCGCCGTGCATTCGACTTCATTAAGCATCGTTGGAGATGATTGAATGCATATCTGGCCTTTACAATAACTCGGGCTGGTAAACCGATGTATCGAGCCGCTATCTTCCCAGACAAGTCTGATACCCATTTGCCTACGCCGGAGAGATGGAGAGCTTGCTGAACCTGGAGCACGGGGATCGATCTCGTGTGGACTGAAGAGCGATGACGACCGACCTACCATAACGCCTATCCATAGTGGTGGAAAATTAGTACCAGACTTGTTTGGGAGAATAAAAACTAACGTGTTACCACGGTAGGCCACACAATATGCAAAATTGTGAAACCATGGTGCATTTCAGTCACATCTACGACGTTATGAGTAGAGTTATATGCGTGGATTATCGCTAAGGGGTTAGTCAACACAGATTGGTTTAAGTAATTCTTCGTATTTACTTGATCAATGCCGAGGTTAATAGAAAGTCCGTCGTGGGAGTTACAGGTTGGTTTACCACTAATGCTTTATGTAATAAATTTTGCAAGCGAAACTAACTGCGGAAAGCCTACATGGGACGACGAGTAGGCTTGACTCAAGTCAATGAATTAATCTGGAGTATAAACCAAGGTCACGTGTACTTGTGAGACATTCCCGTGGCTCTCTCGATTTTATGGAGTTTACCTAGAATCCGACTCCACCGTATCATGATATAGACAAAGGACCTAGATTATTCGTCCCAGGGTTAGATGAATCCGGTATTGAAAATATGAGTTCATGAACAATTTTTGAGCATTGAGCAGAAATATACTGATTCCCCAAGTCTTCTGTGAGCAAATCCATTTTTAAGAGTTGAGATCTTTAGGTCCGAAAGTGAAACAAAGCGGGTTCTTTGAACTCTCGCGTCACTTCGGTAGGCCTCGTTTTCATTTTGATATGATCCAACACACGAAACCGTTTTCAAAACTCTCTTTCCTCGTTTTGTGTCTTTCACACAGTGTTTTTTAGTCCTTGTTGAGAATGACTCAATTAAATGGCTTGTAGACGATGTTCAGCAAGTAATTCGAGCTACAGTTTTCGATGTCGTGTAGTGCAGCTGCTTCAGCCAATGCTGGTCTTCTTTGCTCCTCGAGGTACTCATTCTCAGCGCTATGAAAATTTTAGAAGCTTGGACGGAATATGGTTATTGCATGATCTTGCAAAACTTTCGTGAATTTCCATCGCTATTGCAGTAGTGATAAATAATCCAACTATGTTCCTCATCGTGAAGATGTGAACGAATCCCAACGTATGATGGATTTTATGGTTTTTCTTCTTGAGTTCTGAAGTTTTTTTCCCTTCCTGCAAAGAAGTAAAGGTCTTGTACGGAAGCAATAGGCTTATCCTGTGTAGAACTCTGGAATAACAGGGACATTGGTTAAGGAATGTCTTCGGTCTATTACCATGTGGTCTATTCATGCTGCTCTCCACTGAGAGACTCCAGTACTCCATTGAATGTAAAACCTTTTGTAAACTACCATATGTAGTCTTGTCTTCCATGCCAATCTGTTGATTTCAAGGTGAAGTTCTTCAGACATTCGTCTGATTCCAATCCAGGCGTTAATGTCATCAATATAATGACCATCTTCCACGAAAGAGACTTCTCCATAGAATTTCTTCAAGTTTATATGCAATGCTTCCACATCAGGGAGTCTTCGTAACAGCTTCATGTTGGTTGGCAGAGGATAAAGATTGTCAACGCTGGTTTTCCTCCGCGTCCATTCAACCGTAAACATCGTGTTCGGGTTGTTAATTGTTAGAAGGAGTCGATATGCATAGCAGAACTGATGTTGGTAGTGCACAAACACTTTCAATCTCTCTATGTCACATGTTTCGAAGGACATTTTCCTGAGATATTTGCAAGACTTGGACCGCAGGCCCGAATTCTGCAAATAGTTCAGCATCATTATGGCTGTATTTAACATAATACGCTGCTATGAAGAAATAATAGGCAGTAAATAAAAAGTCCAGCATTGTGATTTCGACTAAAGTCTCAGTTTTGCTGGGTTTAATGCCGAATTGTGCTCTCCAGATCGTTCTTATTGACGGCTAAGTGCTAATCGCACTGTTAATGCAAAGTGTGTGGAAGAGAGGTAAAGCAAAACACTCAATGGTGCACTGGGTAACACTTGAGTCCCCGGAAAGGGTAATCGCAGGTTCGAATCTGGTCTGAGGTCTAAATTGTGCAAATATATCAGCATCCTTGTGGTTAGATTGCACATAATACCCTTTCGTGAAAAAATAATAGTAAGTAAATAAAAAGTTGCATATTTTCCTGTTTTGCCACACACTGCTTCTAATCATCGAGGTCTCCTTGTCTTCTCCAGTCCGACGACATCGTGCTTGATCCTATTTGCTCGCGTCCTCAGATCATTAGCGAATGAATTCAACATGATAGTCTGGGTACATTGTAAACACGGATTATCACCTTACAACTTCTCATTCTAGTGTGCCCCCGATTTTACAATAGCATTTCATTTGTGTCCTTCCTAACATCATCGTTTTGAAGTATTTTCTTAGCATGAGTGGAGCGAAGATCTTTATTTTTACATTCTTGGCAAGAAATACCCACGGGCAGCTTAGTTTTCTTGGAAGCTGCTCTAATTTTACAGTTGTTGTATAGCACGGAATTGAGGTTGAGATGAAAATGGTTATCTCTATTGTTATAAATTGTATAGCCTGCTTTTTGCTAGTCAGGGAGTGAACAGAATAGGTACCAGAACGCTGCTTCTCGTTTGTCTCTACTTCGTGTTAGATTGTCCGCTAAGCTGCGCCCGCTTAAGGTCATGCTTTCCGTATGTTTTCATCACGATGTTATTTCTTTCAGTCGTCTATACTTATGAATAGTTCGTCCTATCTCATACAGTTCACAGTCAGATGGTCTAAGGTTTTCTGGCCGAACCAGCTTATGTGGTAGAGTCTGTAAACACCCAACCACACCATCATCCACATGGTCCACGTGCATAGAGGAAATATGAGATATGGATTACAGCGGTATTGTCTACACATCTATTTTGCATTTTGCTGTCTCTTTACTGAAGAAGTGCTTCAGATCTTGAGATCCCAGACAATCCCTCTACAGTCTCAGATTTTACTCCGGACCAGGCTTTCAATCTATTCTTACTTGGTTTGTTTTTGATTACAGAAAAGCCAAAGAACGGCGCAGTTTCTCTTGTGAATATTTGCATTGCTGATACCATTATCTCTCATCTATCTGTAAATACAAAGGTGACCGTGTTTATGAAGAACCTTCCTAAGAAGGCTTAGTATTATGACGGAATCGGAACCCGATAATATACTCGAAAATACCTAGTCACATGGCTTTTTGTGCAGTGTGCTGATGTCAAAGCCTATTATCATATTCGCAACGATGCCTAATTTTCGGAAATTACAGGATAAGAATGCTTCATCTACATTTTCCTACAAAACGTAGGTACTGAATTCAAGACATGGGATGCGAACTATCCATCCAGAGCTGAGACTCCTCATACTCATCAGTCTGCCCCTATTCTGTTTGTAAGGTAAGCAGGGAATCGTCATGGGGCTCGATCAGATGAACAAATATGTCACAGTAACTGTTTCCATGTCCAGAGGAAAGCGTCGTATTTAATTTTGTTTCAGACTATCACCAGTAAGAGTGCGACAATGCACTTGAGAAGGAAATGCATTGTGACCAATTCCTGTGGTTGCGAATGTGCAAGGGCAAACAGACTAGTGTGTACCACACATCTACTGTTATGAACTTAAGGGCTTTTCATAACCCTTGCATGCTGTTAAAAAATTAAGGAGTCTTATAAAATTTTCAGTGATGGACAATCCAGTCTCTCAAGGCTTTTTATAGAGGCCTACGATAAGCTGAGTGGTCGAGAAAGGACGCTGTGCTTTATTGAATCAGACCTGAGGCTCGAAACATCAAGCGTTTTGGGATAAGCTTCATCTAGTGTTTACTTAAACGAACTACACTGTTTTAACTTCAATGATGCCAAGATATTTGCAAAACTCCGGACCGCAGGTGTATGCAGTGGGGAACGAACGCGTTATTGTTCTTCCTTTCTGGGGAGTAATGCGTTCACCACCACACCATGCGGGTCCTTCGTTTCGCCTGCCTATCAGCTAGTTCTATCGATCTTTGCCGCAGCAATCACTCGTTAACAGCATTGATCTGGAGAGCCCAAATCGGCAACGAATCCAGTTAAGCTGAGGCTGTAGTTATAATCACAATTTCAGCTTATTATTTACTGCCTAGACAGTAAATAATGAGTTAAAGTTACACTGCTTTATTTCGAGAAATTACTTGATACTTGGTATTTGAACGACCCGTTCGCAATGGCTGTTCGGGCTCCAGCACAATCTCCATTTTTCAGAGATTTGCTGGTTAAACCATTGTGGTTTCCTGGAATCCCGAGGTCAACCTGGCTAAAGTCTGCCCCAGGTCTTCACCACCCAAGCACTCGTAGGTTTTGTGGATCAGATGGAGCGCTGTACTTGAGAAATTTCCGCTAAGAAATAATGAATACCCTAATGCTACCGTATGACACACTACATTTATTAAACAATCACAATAACAATTGCAACTTCACATATTCAATAAAGAATGGTAATAGATTTCATCGAGTACCCGTTTGTTAGTTATTTGGAATCCTAGGTAATCACTGCACATCTTGCATAGAGATCGATGACTCGTATCGATTGAGCTCGTCACGAAGTAATCCTGAACGAAATTTGCATTATGAGATCGTTAGATTCATTAATAGAAGGATTTAAAAAAAGGATATGGGTGCATAGTACAATTTGTCAAAGAAACTGATCGATACGCATGTTTTCTCAGTGGTAGCTACACATCATACTGGAAGAGAATCAGCTGAAATGAAAAAGACTAGAAGCTTCAGCTCATTTTGTCAGATAAAGGAGGATCTATTAAGCTGCTTATTGACTTATATCAAATCGTTCCAATTATATATATATATATGTATATATATATATGATGAGCTGAGTAACCATAATTTTTCAGCAGTTCTACAACAGGTTTTACAGACCTTGTACATCGGTAAGACTGAGAGATGACAGATCTTTATGCTCAGTGTCGATCAACGGCACTTTGTTGCCGTTCTTCCGAAATGTAAGCAAATACGGATGCCTGAGCAGATCCTCCAATGAACATCGTGCTCCGAGCAGCATATAGAGAATATTCCTAGCGTGAAAATCTAAAACACTAAGTCTCATATACTTAGAGTAGCAGTCAAACCAATCAACTGAATCGTTCAGTGTGAATCTGTCCATTAAGAACAGCATTTCGCTTATACAATGACTTGCTGGTTCCCACCGATTCGTTAGCTGCTCCAGACAACTTTGATAGCAATTTCCCAAACCCGGAGTAGGTGTTAGTTTGCTGCTCGCCCGAGATCGTACCAACGGCCATATGTGGCAAAGGGATATGTCATCACTGTGCTGCACGCGTTACGAATTAGCATAGGGAAAATATCCTACCGACTAGTCCAGATTCGGTATTACCCTGAAGAATAGCGCGCCATTCGAGATCGTTATGAGATTTTATTTTCGATAGCTTCATAAACGACTCTTCCTCAAGTAGTAAACGAGCAAGGATTGTACCGACTGACATGATATCTTCTGAAAAAAAATGGACTTGAAGTGCATTTCTTTCATTCCAGTAATTAACCATAAAAACCGGATTTTTGTAGCCGAACTCTTTTTGTTGTGATACCTGCAAATTTCTCCTTGTTAGCACTTTGCATGATATCACCGTAAGATGACAACTTCAGAACGGCGTCGGTGTTGATGAAGACAGAGTTTAGGGTAATGTTCTGAAAGAACAAGGCAATAAAGAGAGAAATATGAAGACTATGATAAGAATGTTATAATATGGTTTACTAGTCAAATAACTTAAATACAAATGTTAACTCTGCAGAGACCCCAACGGTTTACCGCCTCATCGTGGCTGGGAGGTGTTCCTGGGTATCGGGCCGCGGTGTACAGCGAGGCGATTCATTCCTGGCAGAGTTTCCCAGGCTAAGGAGTCCGGCGTTTCCACCCGGAAGCCCTGCTAAGTTTAAACTAATACCAGGATGCACCGCTGTTCTAGTGTCAAACCAGCTGCACACAGGGGCGGCGACTGTATATGGTGGTGGGCACACCTGGGGACGACGACCTGGGGCAGACTGTCCGCGCTAACCGCGGGACTACAGGTAAACACAGTGGCTAAATCAGCAAAACTCCGAAAAGTGAAGAATATGCTTGGGCCCGCACAACCAGTAAGGGCGGGCCGTCCAAGTATCCAAGCATCCATGAAACCCTATAGAGAACCACATGGATTTCATCTTAAAGTTTTTCTTCATTGTCCATGTCGAAATAAAAGTTACTAGGAGACACAAAGGTGTTAAAAAGGATTCCTGACCTCTAAGAATTCGTTACATCAGAAAGTGTCAGTTAATTTTCATAGCGAAAACATTTACTTACCAGATGTTCCGCTAACTTTTGAATCTATTAGGTAGTAGTCTAAACTTTCAACCACTCTATCCGATGGACTACCAATTGTTACTTCGTCTTTATTTTTGCCTTTCTTCTATTTTTGTCTTACCCCATGATGCAATCCATTGGAATGTAGAGGTTCAAGAGCTGATAACAGTTGATAGACGATCTTCGCGATAACAAAATGATTCAAATTCTCGTCTACAATGTCGGATAGACGTCCGTCCATCATATCCGTTACCGTATACAGACTATCACCGGCCTCATAGGCGTCCAAGGTTGACAGGATCTGAACTGCATAAATAGAAGCTAATATTGGACGTCAACTTAAACCATAAATATATGTAGCTTAAAGTAGTCGTAAAGGAAGAGCACAGAAAACAAAGTGATGTTAGGATGTGGTGTAAACACTATGAAGCAAACATAAGACGATTTATGATGCATTCTAGCTCAGGACTAAAAAAAGCACTAGAATTACAGCAAACTGGGCAAAAATAGACCCTCATTTGCTATTTTCCCGATCGCTTTCAGATTCGACAATACCAACAAGTTCACTTTTAAAAGGGACCTTTATTTCCGGCGAAATAAGTACAGCTATAAAAGTTATGCTCAAAAAGGGCCGGTATTGGAAACTGATGGTAATGGAGCAGTGATTAAAATACAGCCGAACACTCTATACCGCCAGATAGTTCGTAACCGCCTGTATAACCGTTTACACTCAATGCAAAACTGCTTGATTTGCCCTAATGGCACACATGCATGGGTTCTGGTACAGTGCTCCACATTGCTTGTAAAGAGTATGGGAAGGAGTATATTGGCGAAACGGTTAGACCACTGTGTGTCCCTATAGATGGCAATGTTAAGCGGAAACAGAGCACTCTATCAAGCGCTGGTAGGACACAGAGGAGGCATAAGGGAGGAATTTTGAAGTGAAAGTCACCGTCCTTACACATGAATCTTAGATTTCAGCACACAAAACCTTGATGGAATTTTGGGATAAATTCCAAGAATCCAGGAATGAGCAGCAGAAAGGAGTGCTGGAATCAGTGGATCATGCATGACATCGCAGGCACACTTCTGGCTGAATTTTTAAGCTGAGCCAGGTACATTCCCGATCCATGTAAGACTTAATGCTCCACCAAATAAACAACACGTTTAAAAGCAGCTATTTACTATGCAGATAGGATTTACTTGTTGGGTTTTTTTTCTGCGTGTGTTACGAAATTGTTTGAGTGGGTAGATTGGATGTCAACTGGACATTCCAGGCTTTGAAGAAGGCTAAAGCGCCGAAAAGTCGGCCACTATTGAATAAATCATGTTATTTACAACCTCCTTCCTAATCGAAAAGGATCCATCAACTTCAGGTTTAATTTCTGGGTCTGTTATGAAAAGCTTCTTAAGTACTGAATAATATGAAGTAGTCTTATCGCTTCGTTCAGGAACTCCATTCGAATGCATCAAACTTCACGTTGTAAGGCAAAGTGTACGTACATTCGGATGTGGAAGGAGACGCCCCCACTTTAAATTATGATAGATTCGAGCAGTTTGCTCTTGATCTTTGAGCAACGTTCTGCGAATGATCACATTCTCTTCTGTCAGTAAATCAGCACCAGAACTGAAATCATGGAAAATTAGACGACAAGACCGAGGCCGCTTCCAACATGAGTTAAACAATTCTTTTCATCATCATGTGCACTTTTTGCTCCAACTTTCTGTTTTTTCTTCTTTTCATGTCATTTCTACAACACTTTCTAACCCTTTCTTCTCGTAACAACTCTGGAGTTCCTGTTATACGACACACTTCTAGAGCATCATGTTCAACTCTTGGAATAAAACAACTTTAAAACTTTTACAATCCAAAGTTGCTAAAGGACTCCTCATCTTGTTAAGAATTCAAATATTCGAATATCCGATAAGAAAGCAAGGAGTTTATTCAACTATAATAGTTCGTAATGATCCTGAGATATTTACAAAACTCTGGACCACTGGTGTCTCAGGTGGGGACCGAACACGCTATTACGCTTTCCGGTGGTTAACGTGTTCACCACCACACCGTGCGAGTCCTTCGTTTCGTCTGTCTTTCAGCCGTGTTTTTCCAGTAGTTCATAGTTTCAATAGTATAATACTTCAAACTACAGAGCAACGCTGTACCGTTCTTGTTGAAATAAAGGACGACTTTGCACGAACCTATAAACCAACTTAGGCTATGAATTGCTTACCAAACAGTACTACTCGTACCAGCTTCGATAATTTCGAGATTCACAAATCGTCGTGGAAACATAAGTAAATGACCGGAGATGTTCACCGAATCGTACCGGGACCATGAAACCTTCTTACACACCTCACGTTTTCGTAATGGACTCCTGAAAGATTTGAAGATTCGGCGGATTCATTTCATTTTTTTGTCAAAATAATATTTCGAACAAATTTAACTTCTTTTGGGAGTTCTTCGCGTGAATTTTTATTCAACATTGTAGAAATTTATAGAAAAAACCATTTAGTAAACTCGTGGTGAAGCTGGTTTTTCGACAACGAACGACAATTTCTTCTTGAATAGCATAGCGGTTACGAACCATACAAAATGATAACAAATGCTTTGTTCTATACCCTTACGCGCCTATATCATTTTTACAAGACGATCATTCAATGCTAGATTTGCTTGGAGGGGAGAATGTCAAAAAATCGAGGACAGGGTTTTAAAGCCTAAGATTTCCCATCCAGATGCGGCAGACGCGAAAACTAACGTTACATTGGCTTGCCCTACTAGATGAAATGCTTCTTGTCAGAAAAATTCTTTGTGTGTTAAGGTTTTTCTTTTAATAAGGTTCAATCTGAGCTTAAACATATTTGCTTAAAGTTGAAAGCTGCCATTGCTTTCGCATCATATGGCTCCACATATGGGAGCGTGTAGTAACCACCCAGAGAACAAATGCAAGAAGCCGGTCCTGGAATTCGCTGGTCTGGGACGATAATAAAACACTGATTTGATGCATCAATAGGCGCCCAGATGCCAATGTATATGAATCTAATCACCTTTACGATGTAACTGGCGCTGAATGCGGCGGATGACTTAAGGATTAATCAAAGCCAGATGCCTTATCTATTTTATTTTAATGCCTATGATCCAGATAACCTAATAGCATTCTTCCACAGCGGATTACATCCCATTGAATTTGTGATCTACGAGAACTTCTTTTACGCGATATCCCAGCACTTCTCACATCCAATTCATTTTCTCCCATCCATCGTCTACGAAGGTATTCACACTTTTCCCATGTGGATTCGGCTGCTGTTTGAGGTTTTCTCTCCTTCATGAACGTCGTTAAATGTTGGTCGAGTCGTTTCTCCTCGTAGTCTTGAGGCAGGCGAGAGAGAGAGAGAGCGTTTCCACATGGGGTGCGAAGACCGAACTTTTCCCAAAAAAGTCGTGGAAATTATAAGTGAAAAAATCATCTTACTGCTTTCTTTCCTGCGAATTTCTCGGTGTGCTCGGCGTCGACGATGACATTTTGTTGAGTTGATTGAAGATCGGATTTTCACCAGATCGGGAGCACGAGTTCCACACCGTATTCCACAAACTTCGTATGTGGTCCTCTGAAATAATGAAGAAAAATTCTGCGTGGGAACTCGGATAGGGAATGTGCTAAAACATGCTGTGATATTTTCTCCCCATCATAATATTCAATAGATTTACTTTGTAATAATTAGGGGTTTGTGACGTCTATACCAAAGAAAAGGAGAATAGGCGAATCAGATTGAATGAGATTACGTAGTGACGATGAAAAGAAAGGTATAAAAACTCTCTGTTTAAAGAAAAGGGCAGAAGATTAGCCGCAGTAAAAAGAAGCCTACAGAAGGATTATGACGAGCCGGAGAGCCCACGAGATGTAAGTAAAAAAGTTTATAGTTACATTGTTGGTTTATATATTTGCTCATAGAATCGGGGTTAACATTGAAATGAACATAGAGCTGAAGGGAAACCGAAACCGGAAACCCAAGATATGCATTGGAATGCTTCTCAAATGATGTGAAAAAAGTCGTCCAATTAACTGGCATCGTTGTCAACGGCTTGGCACTTTTTACCTCAGAAATAAATGAAGTAGCAAAAGAAACAGCCCATTGGTTTCTGTGAACCCGACTGACAGCAGTTAGTAAATATGTAACTTCTGTCTACCGCGATATTTGCAAAATTTGGACCCCAGGCGAAATTGAACCCGAGATTACCCTTTCCGGGACCTCATGTGTTACCTTCTGCACCACTGAGGCTCCCGTTCTGTCTTTCTCTCAGTCAGTTTTTTTTTACCCCAAAGGTGCCAACTCCTCAACGGAAATGACCTAGGAACACAAATCGGCAAGGGGCTCGATTCGGCCTGGGGTCCAAGTTTTGCGAATTTCTCCGCATCATTGCAGGTAACAAATGGTTTAAGAACTCCATATTAAATTACGGAGCATAAACTTCAGTCCAAATACTGTTATATATACATTAATTGGTAAGCCAATATTGTAGACAGGTCTGACTAGCAATGATAATCATCATGCTAACAAAAAGTGGGTGCTATTTATTCGAATGGTACAGTTTACGATTTAAGTGAAAACTAGGAACTTCCATGGATAAGAGTTTCGTCAAACCAAATGCATACTGGAAGTGAACAAACTAGATAGAACAACTAGATAGATAAGGAATCTCTACAGCGACAACGTCAGGTTCGTGCTTAGACTGACATTGTGGGAGGGGCATCGTGTTTACAAGATACCGTAAGAATTGCGGTTGGATAAACTGATGTTTAGAGTCGTGACGTCCTGGAGTGCGGCTGGCAAAAAAACTCGAGATATTCTCAGAATAGGAGACGGATTCCGCCACTGCACGTCCATCACAAATTCATGAGCCGGCCATGTGAAGTTGGCGAAGAGTTTCGTGTTTGGTGTAACGATAGTCAATCAACGCCAATTGTCATATGACATGTTCAGGTATGCATACGCACACATTTGGAGTCTTCTGAATCATTCCAACAAGCTACTGAAAATCATTGGACATCAGCGGCGAATGTCTGATGAATGAGAATAAGAATAGAGTATATTAAATTCACCCGAGAGAAACCAAAAGAAAACCGGCTTCCATTTACGAGCGTGCAAATTAACCTATCAGAAAACGGCTACACTACGAAATGGTATCGAAAGTCAGGTAGTAAAAACACCTTGGTTCATTACCTCTCCTCTCACAACTCTCACACGAAAAGGGCGCTTGTAAGAAATATGTTTCGAACAGCTACCAGCGTGCGCACAGGAAGACAGCAGAGAGAGGAGTCCCGGAACATGGCGCGGCAAATAGCCATTTTTAATGGCTACGAAACTGTAGCTCGAGATAGGTGTAGAGGAAACCACAGGCACCCCAACGATAACTCTAGTGACAATAAGGTTCCATTTATACTGCTCCTTATTTCAAATGAAGTATGTGCAGCTATAAAAGCTGTTTGAGAAGGGCCGGTCTACAGAATTCGGTAACGATAATTGAAATACCACCAAGTAATCTAAGACGCCAGCTAGTTCGTTACCGCCTGAAATCCTGAGGTCAGCCTGACCAAAGTCTGCCCCAGGTTGTCACCACGACAGGCAGTCGCAGCCCTTGTGGATCAGAGGGAGATTTGCCATCATGCGACATTGATACCAGGACGGTGGTGGATCCTGGTATTGGTTTACTGGTAGCTAGGCTTCCTAAGGGAAACGCCGGACTCCTTCTCAACTTGGGAGACTCTGCCGGGGGACGTTCTTTTACTGTCTACAAATTACCAGAACGTTATAGTAACAATTCATCACCAATGGCTAAAATAACTATATCGTTAAAATCAGACTCAAAATTACAGACATTACGGTAAAAGGTACGGGTTTATGCGAAGTACGCTTGCTTGTTGTTTTCGACGTCATCTAATTGAGCATGTGTACTACGACTTAAACACAACTTGTGCAGCCATTGGAGTCAACAAGTCGACGAACATCCAGTTCCACACTACAAATTATATTTCATGAAACGTGATAGACTTCAAGTCGGTTCTTGGTGAAGAAACGTATCCAAGTGGATGAGAGCACATTAAACGCAGATCAAGAGAAACCGATCAGAAACCGATCAACTCCGCTGAGAGTCAGACACATTCAGCGGATGGATGAGCTCTCTGTTTTTCCCGTTTCGGATTGACTTAAGCCTTCCGTATACATGAAATCGTATTTAGGTGTGACTATAGCCTTTTTAGTACGAGGTTTGAACTCTGTTTGCAGATTAGACAAAAAATCTACTATAATCAAGCGTCTAGGAATTATGCGACAGTCAGTTCGGCGTCCCTCCGTTCCCATACAAGACAGTCTTGTACCCTGGAAAAATCAGTCGGGGTGGCCGCAGATGCCTTCAGCCTCTATTGGCAAAGGGGTGGCAAGTTGCTTATGGGTGATTTCTCATCAAACATGCTGAAAATAGAGGGCTGCATCCGGAATTCGTGGTGTTCTTCGTGCCCATTGCAGACCTCCCTTAGCAGGGCCATTAAGAAACTCTGGGCCGAAGGGGTACCAGCTCGTTGCTCGGCGGCTAACTGGTTTAATTACTTCCTCGCAATAATAGAACTAGCTTTGCTTATAAACGAGCAAAATGGTATGTATAATTGCAAGTTAAAAAGGAAGGACAAAAA